CCTTCGCCGACCGCTCCACCTGCGGGCGCACCTGCAGACTACACTCGGACAACCAAAGAAGTACCAGTGCCAGGCTGCGCCAGGACCTTTCTCCCGGCATGTCCTCCTGCTGCGGCACGGGGAGTTCCGGCTGCTGCCCCGGGCCCCTGAGACGCAGCGTGGCTGGTGCAGGTAGGACGGAGGAGGACTTCCCCCGGGGAGCCAGGAGCTAGGTCCCTGGCGTTGCTGGTGCGGCCCAGGGAGGAGCCGGGGTTTCCCAGGATGGGACGGGCCCAGGCCTCATGCTTGGCTGCCTCATCCCCCTCCCGTTCCTTTCAGAACGGAGGAGAAGTCCTCGGGAACCCCGTTTCAGGACGGGGCGGCTCGCACGCAGACTCCCACCTGCTGCAGCCGGTTTTTGGGGAGGGATGCACTTGCTCAAAATGAGGAACGGAGTTTTCCGGTTTCTCCACCCGCGTCTGCGTGCCTTGGTTTCTTTCTTCTTCCTTTGGGAAGTCGGAGACTGCGCCAGGCGGGGGACTTCCAAACCGCCTGACGTTTCCCTGCCCCGAGCCGAAACTCCCCGGCCAACCGCCCCATCGCCACCTAAATGACACTGCACCCGTGAGCGCATCGTGCGCTCTCTGCCCAGACGCACAACTACCTCTCGCCAGCCTGCACTGCCGCCAGGGTCTGGGACACGCTGTGTCACCTTTCTCCCTTCGCTACGTCCCACCAAGGGACGGACGAGAGCCGCAGCGGCATACCAGCCGACAGATTCGAGGCTCCTGCGTGGAGAGCACCCCCCCAACCCCACAGCAGGCCGGAGTCCCCAGCCCGGGGTGGGCGCCCCCCTCCTAATCGCTGTGATAACGTCCGCGCTCCTGCCTGTCTCTCTGACGTCCCGAGTCGCCGCTCCATCCGGGGTCTGCAGAGGACCAGACTTGGAGACCCCCAGGAGACAGCGGTTCTGGGTTCTGGACCCCCGGGTACAAAGCATCCGCCAGCCTCACCTAGAACCCTTCTGTTGGACGCCACACCGGCGCCGAGCCGCCTCTATGAGCTGACTGCGGGATCAGGCTCAGGACGGGCGGGGCGGCACAGCCACCTTCACAGGCAGGCTGAACGGCAGGTGGGCCGCACAGCTGGGCCGCAAGGCTGCTGGCCTCCCAGGCCCTGGGAGGGAGGACAGGGAGGTCGCGTCACTCGCCACTGGGCTGGGCTGTCCCCAGCTGTCCCCAATGGGCTGTCCCACTGATCCCCACTGCCGTTCCCCACATGCCGTCCCCAATGCTGTTCCCCAACGCCATCCACTGCATCCCCACTGCTGTCCCCAATGCTGTCCCACTGCCATCCCCACTGGCATCCCCGCTACTGTCCCCACTGCTGTCCCCACTGCCATCCCACTGCCATCCCCACTGCTGTCCCCAATGCTGTCCCCGCTACTGTCCCACTGGCGTCCCCACTGCCGTCCCCAATTCTGTCCCCGCTACTGTCCCACTGCCATCCCCCTGCACCCCCACTGCCATCCACTGCGTCCCCACTGCCGTCCCCAATGCTGGTCCCCGTGCCGTCCCACTGTGTGTCCCAAATGCCGTCCCTACTTGCCGTCCCCTGTTGTCCCCACTTGCCGTCCCCACTGCGTCGCCACTGCCGTCCCACCTGCACATACCCATGCCGTCCCCACTGCCGTCACCCAACTACCGTCCCCACTGCCGTCGCCCACTGGTTTCCCCAATGCCGTCCCCGCTGTTGTCCCCGCTGCCGTTCCCCCGCTGTTGTCCCAATGCCGTCCCCGCTGTTGTCCCCGGCTGCCGTCCCGCTGCGTCCCCGCATGCCGTCCCCGCTTGCCATCCCGGCTTGCCGTCCCCGCTGCCATCCCCGCTGCCGTCCCCGCTGCGATCCCTGCTGCGTCCCCGCTGCCGTCCCACTGCCGTCGCACTGGCCGTCCCCACTGCCATCCCCACTGGCCATCCCACTGCCGTCCCTGCCCGCCTGCTGCCGTCCCCACTTCCCCAATGCCATCCCCACTGCCGTCCCACTTTCCCACTGCTCCCACTGTTCCCGCTTGCGTCCTCGCTGCGTCCCCGCTGCTGTCCCCTGCTGTTGTCCTGCTTGCCGTCCCCTGCTGGCTGTCCCACTGCTATCCCCTGCTGTTGTCCCCACTGCCGTCCCCCCTGTTGTCCCCCACTGCCATTCCCTGCTGCTTGTCCCCACTGCCTTCCCTCCGTCGCCATTGCTCCCACCATCCCACTCCATCCACTTCCTCCCCTGCTGCCGTCCCCACTGTTGTCCCCAATCCATCCCCACTGCGTCCCCACTGTTGTCCCCACTGGCCGTCGCCACTGTGTCCCCCACTGGCCGTCGGCCACTGTTGGTCCCCACTGCCGTCCCACTTTGTCCATCCGTCTCCACTGTTTCCCCCACTGGCCGTCCCCACTTTCCCTGCCCCCGCGCCGTCCCCGCTGTTGTCCACTTTGTCCCCGCTGCCGTCCCACTGTTGTCCCACTGCCGTCCCGCTGTTTGTCCCCGCTGCCGTCCTCCTGCCGTCCCCGCTGCCGTCCCCTGCTGTGTCCCCTGCTTGCCGTCCCTGCTGCTCGTCCCCACTGCTATCCCCTGCTTTGTCCCACTGCCGTCCCCTGTTGTCCACTGCCATCCCCTGCTGTTTGTTCTGTCCCACTGCCTTCCCGTGCCGGTCCCCTGCTGTTGTCCCCCATTGCTGTCCCCACCTTCCCGCTGCCGTCCCTCGTCCTGCGCCGTCCCTGCTGCCGTCCGCTGCGCGTCCCCGCTGCCGTCCTTCGCCATGCACCTTCTCACGTGCCACAGCACCATGGCCGGAGCGTGCGCAGCCCTGCGACCCATCCACTGAGACGAGCTGCCGCCAGAGGCCCCTAGCGGCCTGCACTGACCCCCGCCCAGCGTCCTGCCCCTGGTCCCCTAGGCGGTGGTGGTGTCCCTCCTTTGGCCACCCGCCGGGCCAGGCCTCCTCCCCGCATGTCCCAACATCTCTGGCTCGACCCTGGAGGGCGACACTGGGACTGAGTAGGGCCCTGTCGCAGTCCCATGGCAGACGGACCGACACCTCCACTGGCGGGAGGGAGGCTGGGGGGGTGGACCCTGCTCCTCTCGCCCTGGGCCTGGCACGGGGCCGCCGGGCAGTGGCCAGGGCTCCCCTCTCCCTGAGCTGCCCGGAGCCTGCGAGCTCCTGTCTGTGGAGGAGAATATTCTAGAACACACAGAGACATCTTGTCCCCAGCCCCTCACGACACAGGCCTGGCCTGGGGCACCCCACCTGCAGACCCAGCCTGGCCGACACCGACAATTCCTGCATGAGGGACCTCGGGGACGTCCAGAGGAAACTTGACCTTGGGCTCCTCTGGACTAACAGTGACCTGTTTTTTTCTTTTTTTTTTTTTGAGTCAGAGTCTCACTCTGTTGCCCAGGCTAGGAGTGAGTGCCGTGGCTTCAGCCTACTCACAGCAAGCCTCAATCTCCTGGGCTCAAGCATCCTTCCTGCCTCAGCCTCCAGAGTAGCTGGGACTACAAGCATGTGCCACCATGCCCGGCTGCTTTTTTCTATATATTTTTAGTTGGCCAATTAATTTCTTTCTAATTTTTAGTAGAGAGGGTCTCGCTCTTGCTCAGGGCTGGTCTCTAACTCCTGACTGTGAGCTCGATCCCCCTCAGCTCCCAGAGTGCAGATGACAGGCGTAGGCCACCGCGCCACGCTAACAGTGACATTTAAAAGTAGACCACCCAGCCTGTAATCCCACCACTCTGGAGTGCCGAGGCGGCGGATGGCTCGAGGTCAGGAGTTCGAAACCGCCTGAGAAGAGGCGAACCCCGTCTCTACTATAAATAGAAAGAAATCAATGGCACTCAATATATATATATTACATATATGATTTTATATATAATAAATACTTATATATATTATATTACAAAAAAAAAAGTAGACCACCCAGGAGACCCCAGGTGAGCTGTCAGAGGGAAGACACCCTCCGAGATGGCCATGCTCACGTTCCCTGCCCCGTGGCCGTC